AAGTCAGGATGGTTAAATTAACCCAAAGTTGAGCATTCAAAGTTAAGAGTTTAGAGCTTACAATTAATCCAAGAAATTTGGAATGTTCAAATCTAAACTCTTAAGTTTTAGTCATTTGAATTGACTCAATATTAAGTATTTGTACTTTCAAAAATAACTTAATACATTTAGGGTTTAGCCTAATTAAAAACTAAGTTAAAAAGTAAGTACCAAAATTTAAAAGGTTAAGCTTAAACTGAAATTCAAATACTTTTAACTGAGGAGCTAAGCTTTATTCGAAAATCTCCGCCACCAGATTTGCAATACTCCTGCTAGTGAAAAGAAGGCGGGGGTCACTCTCAAAGCCAGGAAATGTACCATTGCATGTGATAATTTCCAAATAAAAAACTTATAGTATCAAAATTGTTGAAGGTCTTTAAATTCTATATAAACTTCATGTTATTCCTTAGTTAAACACAATAATTTAGAATATATGAAAATAATTTTAGACTCGGTTTATGAACTCTCAAATTGTGTATGCTTTAAGAGAAATTGTGTATGCTTTAAGAGATTCATATAGATAAGAATCTGATACGTGTTTTCAAAATCTCTTGTTCAAAATTGTAAATCATAGTTATGGTTTAAAGGTTACACAAGCCTTTAAATTCTTTGAATTATTTAAGCTATTCAAATATATAAGTTAAAAGCCCTAGTGTGCTCTAACCAAACATACTGAATATTCAAATTTTAAGTTCGAGAATACTGCGCAGGCTAATCGAACCGCCTTATATATAAGATAATGTTGTGAGTCTCACCCACTAGTCTGACCTTCATCCTTATAAGGACTGGAATTGACGAGTCTAGTAAATCTAATAAATGTCCAAATCCTTAAAAAAGAGTTTACAACTCTAATTCATCTAGTCTAATCCTCCTCATTGTAAGGAGAGCAGTCAACAGGACTTATATTTTGAAAAGCTTAACTGACAAAATCAAATGTCCCTTTTTAAATATAACTACTTTAAAAGTTCTAAACCCCGACGATGACCGTGTTAATTAAAGATTTCAATCGAATGGGTTAATTTTTAGATTATTTTTTCAAAATAACCAACCTAATATGTATCGTAAAATTCAATCACATAAAAGACTTAAAATGAAATCTCATCCGCCATCCACAACGGTTTGTCTAAGATGACAAAATTTTTATTGATTTTAGCTCACAAAAAGTGATTGTCATATCAAATGTATTAATATATTCACAATCAAAGTAATTGCATGTCGGTAAGGACGTGATTCGAGTCCTCTATCCTTGTGATTTTGCCACCAAATGTTGCCACAAAATAGCAGTTAGGACCAGAGTCATTTGATCGAGTGGTTGCCCTCAAATGACACCATTATATTACGGTCACAGTCGTAACCGTATATTCCCCAAAGATTTCCTACCCTTTGAGATGTGAATTATATGGATACAAATGATTGGCACAAAGCCTTCTTTTACTTAAGGTCAACTTAAAGTTGTTCCCTTAGAAAAACTTCCACCCTAGACCAACGAGGATATCTTGGTAGATGTAACCCACGACTGCTGACAAGAATTTTTCTTTCAGGTTGGGTCGACTTCCTCCTCTGACCAAGTAGATAAGGGACCATGATGACCCGAGATAATATAACCATGGGATCTTGATCGGGTTTCGTCTTCATAACCCCACCATCACTTTAAGCTTCAAATGGTGAATTCTACAATTTAAACCCTAACTCAACTGCTATTATAACATGAATACTCAATTTTTAATTACTAGCCTTGATCGAAAGCTCTTTCTCGTTATCAGAAGAAGTAATTAACCATAGCGCCTATGGGAAACCTCGAACTCCTGATAAAAAAGTTCTCGCAAAATAAGAGTGAAATATCTGGATAATATCTTCTCTACAATCCAATTCATCTTCTGAAATTCGACCCTCCAAAGCTCCCTCTCTCTCAAAACAAAAAAAAATAAAAACAAAATGAGGAGAGTTTTTTGGTAGCCGTTGTGAATTTTCGAAGCCCACAAACAATAGCCCATTCATAACTCTTCTAACACATGGGTTTGAAGTATGGAGAGGTCTGATGCTAAGAAACGAGATTCCTCTCACTCCAAATGTCTTATTTTCTTATGTTAAGCCTTATTTATTTTAAAGTTAGTCTTAAGAATGAACTTGGCTCACCTTAAAGTGAGCCAAGTTATCCTCAAGATCAAACAGGCTGAGCTAAGTTCATCATAGTCACTAGACAAATCTAAACTCCTCTAACATATATTGAACATGCTGCTAATCGACCCAAGAAATCATCTAAGACTAATTATTAGAGCAAGCCTAAAACTAAGACCCAAATCCCTTTTGATTTTAATAATAATGCCCATCTAAGATTATTCTCCCTCGTACTCTTTCCCCTCTTTCTCCTCTTCTTACTTGATTTTTGCAAGCAACATCAATGCTCACAAATACAAGTGGCCAATAAAAATAAATCATTCACATACAACAGTTAAGTACATGGGGCCATTACATATGTACCACCCGATCCTTATGTATTTACATATCTAACTAAATAATGAATTTTACATTTATGCCACCCAAGTTTTAAAAATATGACTTTTTTAACTTCTAAAAAGTGAAATATATCTCTTCATGAATAGATAACGTGGCATATATATATCAATTCAAGTTTAGACGTTTGCTATGTAAATTCATAATAATTGAGTGGTATGCATGTAAATCTTTCCTACATAAATGGTGATGGTGATTTCTAATCATATCCAATCATGCATGGATGTTGATATGATTTAAAAGGTAAAATATTATAAAAATAAGTATAAGACCCATATATCAAATACATAAATACATAACAACAGTTCTATAATGTATGCCTAAATCCCCTAATTTATAAGTATAACCCTTTTCTCTTCAAAACAAAAGATGATAAAGAAAGAATAAAATTAGTAATAAGTCATGGATCATCTTCTTCTTCCTCCTGTGTATCAGTACTCTTCTCCTCCAGGATTTCATATGCTCGACTCAGTAACATATCTATATATCGAGCAAACGCATCTTTGCGAGCTTCCAGTCGTACTTCTACCTGCCAAATGCCAATCAATATTCCGTAATTAGCTTCCAAATTGGCAATCATATCATATTTCTCAAATGAACGAATAATGATTATACTTTTTGCCAAAATATTTACAAATAAAACTATAGTAAGTTTGGATGCATGTTTTCGTATTTTTAATCAGAAAAGAAGACCAATAATAAGGGCATGATACGATTCATATCGTCATCGGCATGTCCGGACAACGAACAACTCCAAATTCACATAATGAAGAGAAGCCGCGACTAAAGTTCGAGCTTACCTCTGATTTCTGCTGCTGCTGTATCTCCTCCTCATCAGATTCTGCAACCATCCTCTCTCTCTCAAGATCCAATCTATGTTATCTAGCTAGCCTCTATTCTTCTGTTATATATATATAGAGGTTTGGGACAAGCACAAGCAGCTTATCTTGAAACGTGACCCACGGGATTAGACTCGTTGTCTGCGTTTAGTGTAAAAACCCAACCGCGTTTTCAAATAAGCTGCTCTTGAAACGTGACCCACGGGATTCGACTCGCTGTCTGCGTTTAGTGTAAAAACCCAACCGCGTTCTCAAATAAGCTGCTGAAACGTGATTTCCAAACGGTGAAACAGTGTTTTGAAAAATGTCGTGTGCACTTATAAGCTGCCTCAAACGGGCATAAGCAAACCAATTGGTCTGCCATGGCATCCATTAACGGACGCCCGAGAAACAAATTAAATTAACAGCTCCTCTTTCCTCTCTCTACTTCCCTTTCGTGAACAGATTGGCTGAAGAAGCTTAGGCCATGGCCTGCAAAAGAAGAAATTAAAGCCAAATCATCTCCTTTCACAAAAAGTTAAAATTTTGCAACAATAACCACCGAGCTTCTGTTTCCAAATGGAAACCAACTATCTGTGTATTAATAATCAATGGATAAATTCAAAAATGGAATCTTGTTTCATGTTTTTTAAATGTTTGTGTAATGGTTTATTTTCTTTATTTAATCCTTTGGATGATTATGTAAATTACAATTAGAAAGATAAAATAAATAAATAAGTCTTTTTTCAAGTTGGTTAAAGAGTAATTAGTTAGTTTTAGACCTTGCTTGATGTTGTCTAAAATGTATAGATTAGTATGCTGAGCATTTTTGTATTGGTAGATTTGGACAAGGATAAATAAATTCAATATCTCTTGTCTTGATATGAGACTTTGGTTGCATTGACTTTATGTTGAGTGGGCCAAAAGCCACTCCACATAAAATAATAAGAATAATAATAATAATAAATTCTTCTTCACATAATTAATTATATATTTAAATAGAATAAAATTAAGAGATTTTGATTTGGAAATAAATTTACAAATAATGAAAAGATTTATTATAAAATATATAATAAAAATTTCAAGTTATCTATGTGTGTAATCAACAATATAAATATCATAAAAATATTAACTTGTTACTTTCCTTGAATTATGGATAGAAAATGTTTTTTATTTTATTTTATTTTGGGAGTTATTTTAATAAAAAAACATTTAAATGATAAAACAATATTATATTGAACAAAATTGAATTGCATGATTTGGTTCCATCTTGTGATTAATTTTTTACAATTTCATTTCAATTTAGTATGATTCATACTTATTATGTTAAATGTTGCCAATCCATGTGAGTTGTATGTTAGCTTCAACCTGCAAAAGATGCTCATGTGTATATGTTAGCATACCACAAACTTTATATTTTACATTTATGCCTCCCAGGTCTTCTTATATCACAAAATAATATCGCAATTTAAACTTTTAAAAGTGAAATACACTTAAAAATTTAAGTTTAGGTGTAAGATATATAAATACATAGGAATCGAGTGGTATTTATGTAAATCTTCCAATCTGTGAACCTCTTGTAGGCTAATTTATGAGATTATCAACTCTTGCATCCCGCTTCAACTTAAATTAACATAACAAGAGCTCAATATATGATGAATAGATGTTGCCACTTCCCATAAGTCACACATACATAAGAGGAGAAAAAAACATAACAATAAGAAATCTGTCATAACATTTACATAAAGAGTAGTAAATCTAGTGGACTGGATCAGGGTTGTAGTTCAAAGACACTCTGTATATGAGCGTTTTGATGTCTTCTTCTGTCACCGCCGGTTGCTCGAATTCGAAATTGAAGGGTGTGTGGCAGATCGGTTCATCATTTATGTCATGAAGAGAAGCTAAATATGGGTGTGAAAGGGCTTCATCGACTGAAGAGAGATGACATATTTCATCACTTACGCGCTCAGAATGAGAATCATTATAGAAATGAGTAGGGCATCAAAATAGTCCCATGATTGAGAAAATATTACGTGCGGATAATATACATGCGGATTTGTGGTATTATAATGAATACCGACATAACACTACCAAATCCGCACCTATCAGCGCCTACCCTGTCGTCACGTAATATTTCTTCCTCATTAAAATTTTCATGGTCAAAATAATCCCTACTCTTTTAATATAAGCTAAAATAGACTCAAGAAAGATCATATTAGTCCCAGAGTCTATAAAAATGTCAAATCAGTCTCCATAATCGTTTAATAAGGACTATCTTAGCCCTCAATAAAGGAATCGAGATTAAATTGGCAATTTCATAAACTCTAGGATTAAAATGATCTCCTGCAAAGAATGAGATGACCGTTTTGAAACTTTTCTCGAACAAAACTGAACAAACAATGACTGGCAAGACTTAGAAGAATAGTTAGATACCTGTGATTCTCTTGCTTGGGTCAAATACCAACATTCTCTCAAGTAAATCCTTAGCTCCAGGAGACATGCTCGGAAACCTTGAAGAAAATTGCTGCTTTGGATAATGTGGAAGTTGTCTTACATACCTCCGGGCATTGTCGCTTCGAAGAAACCCAAGACTGGAGTCATCTGGGGAACCTATCAACTTTTTAAAGAAGAGAAAACATGAGTTGTGAGGGGAACCACTCAACTTTTGAAAATGTTAAGGGAGATTTACATACATATCACACAATTCTTTTATATTCACAAATTTAACATAAAGTTTTTAATATTTACTTATATAATGCTCACATCTTTGACATTGTATAAAAAATATCACTAATATTATCTTTTTAAAAGTGAAAAACATAATATCATGCATATGTTTTGATGTGACCATACCACCTAATTTTTATGTATGTTAAATATCAAGCTTTAGGCGTCATGTATGCGTATACATAAGAATTGTGGCATGTAAGTAAATTCCCCAAAATTCCAACATAATCTATAGAAGCTTATGAGTTGACAAACAGATTATCACGAACATTATAACCATCAACATTAGCTTTAGTACAAGACATAAGGTGGCATAGGTTGGTTTTATAAATCCTAATCTTTCGTTGAAGAAAAAGCTTTTTGAACAAATTCCAACAAAATGACCAAAAAATATGCTTGATTTGATGATCTAATTTAACAAACATCGATTCCACTACATTATTAACCTAAACAAGTTGAGATTTTAATTAGATAGGATTTAGTAAATCCTGTAAATCCGGATTTATCAAATCCAGAGGTGTTAAATCCACAGATATGTTTGATACGATTTAAGTTAAATCTAGCTAAATTCATTCGTAATGTTTAGGGATCTCCACTTCCTCCTGTGTGACAAGAGAAGCCTCCCGCCTTAAATACGTTAAATCCACCTATTCATTGAATTTTAAAAAACTAGGATTTACGTTACAAGGAGAAGATAATGGATTTAGCAAAGTTACGGATTTAACTCCCTGTTTTTTGCATTTGGCAGATTTAAAACAGCACATCAATAACATACAAGATTAAAATAATAAGAGAATATAAAATTTTAGCAATAATGAAGATCACACCATGAAAAAAAATTTGGCAAGTATTTCACTTAACATTCACAATAAAATAAATTAAAAACAAGAACAAGAATAAAAAACACCCAAATAAAGATTCAAGCCTCATAACGATACAAGGAGACTCACCTCCGGAAGTATGAATCAAGACTTGCAAAGCACTTGATAAACACAAATTAAGAAAAACTATAATTTATTTTCCGCCTCAACATTAAATAATTTGACTCAGATTACTACTTATAATCCACAAAGGTCAAATATGGTAGCTTTTCAATAGCCAATCAACATTTGGTCAAATACACCAAATGCCAATACAAAAATTTTGCAACTTTTCAAAATTTTCCAAACAAAATAGCTCGTCAATTTCCCAGAATATTTTTTGTGCTGCAAAATTGTTCAAAGAAACTGAATGAAAAGAAGAAAACGACAACAACAACAATAACAAGAAGCCTTTATCCCACTAAATGGGAAGGCTACATAATTTATTTTTCTCCATTGTGTCCTATTGAGTGTCATATTTTCATTTAACACTAATAGACTAAAATCATTTTTTATAAAAAATGTCCAAATCTTTTCAAGTCTAACTCTGTTTTATTAACATAAGTTGAATCTAAAACATCTACTCTCCTAACAGGATCATCAGATAGTCGACGTTTACCGTGACAAACCATCTAAGATGACTCTCTAATCTTATCTGTAGCTGGGGCTACACCAACCCTTTCACGGATAGATTTGTTTCACATTTTGTTTCTAAGTGAGAAGCCACTCATCCATCGAAAAGAAAAAAGTGAGATGGAAAAAATTCACCGATACGACATAAAAAAGATTACTAATAGTCCAGAAAGTATAAGGCCTTTGAGTTCCACAATCCCAATAAATCTTCCTTAAATACATAAAAAATAAATATAAATTTGTATACTTAAAAATAGTTTGCACGGATTTCGAGACAAACTGTTGTCAGCTCCCGTCAAATTGGCTACCCTTGGCAGACTTTTCCCCCTGATGAATGGCTTTTTCCCCCGATAGAGGACTTTTTCGGCTCCTATTGTAATATTATAATTTACTTTTTGGTCCTCCTATCGTCTATAAATAGGAGAGTCATTTCATATGAAAGGGTTTTTCGGCTCCCCCTCCCCCCCCGACTTGTAAACTCTATTTTTAATTGAATAAAATGGGTCCACAACCCCAGAAACACCCGATTCGCCCTGAGGGGGGCAAGTCTTCCTCTCCTCCTCTCCGCCCCTTTTCCTCTCTTTTCCTTCTCTTGGATTCTCACACTCTATTCCTTAAGCACAATTCAAATGACATATTTGGATTTAACAAAATCTTTTAATGGTTACTGCATCACTTTGTAGAATAGCATTAATCACATACCCATCCCTTCAACAAAAATTAATTTTCATATTGTTCCACGAAGCAACTGAGAATTACCTTAAAAGTTGCAAAAAAGAAATTTAACAGTTTTCAAGCTACAAAAAATGAAACCAAAATATAATAAAAAAATTTTAAAAATGTTATTTACATGTGAAACAACAAAAAGTTACCACATTTTATGACATCGCCCATTTCTGTAATGACAGAAAACAAAACATATTTAGAGGCACATATTTAGACGCAACATATTTAGATTACAGAAGACAGCCTTAGAGAAAAAAGAAGAGCAAACCCATTAAAATAGCTACAAGCCTCGTTCCAAAAGGATCCCGAATTCCATACCTCAGTAATTAGCCTAAGCTGATGAACGTAATCCTTTCCGGGAAACAATGGCTCTCGGGTTACGATTTCGCCTAGAATACATCCGACGGACCAAGTATCGATGGCAGCAGTGTACTCGGAACAGTTAAGGAGCAATTCCGGTGCTCTGTACCAACGAGTAACGACGTACTCTGTCATAAAATCCGCTTCTGATGTCGTTCTTGCAAGGCCAAAATCTCCAATTTTGAGGTCGCAATTCGCATTCAAGAACAGATTGCTCGGCTTAAGATCACGATGTAAAACATGCGCAGAGTGCACGTATTTTAGACCCCTTAGTAGCTGATAGAGGAAAAACTGCAGGTAATAGAAGATGATAGTGTTACAGCGGAAAATGAAATTGAAAATTATGTAGCACACAATTCTTATATATTTGCATATCTCAAACTTAAACTTTTAGTTTTACATATATAGTACTTTGGTGCTTTAAACCTATGCATAAAAAGTTGTATTTCACTTTTAAAAGTGCTATGTTTAGTGCTATTCGGGTAAATATGAAATGTTAGACCTGAGTTATGTAAATACATAAGAAATGTGCGATCTATAAGGATCTAAAAAATTGAGATCTAAAGGATCTAAATCACAGCAGATTTGCTCAAAAAAATAGATCAAAGAGGAAGAAATGTAGATGAAATGAAGCAACTTTGGAAGTTTACTTAAAATTCAGATAAAAAAATTTGTAAGTTGATAACTGCAGAGGAAAATCATGTCTTTATAACATAAATCATTATGCTAGAACATCATATCAGATGAACAAAATAAGTGTAGCAGTCCTAACTCTAGCTAAAAATCACATTAATATCATTCAGGTTTTAAACCTGAAGTGCTTGTAGTTAGAGTAATAACTAAAAAATTCACAAAAAGGATTTTATATCAAAAAAAAAAAAACAAATTGGAAAAACGGGCCAAAAGTGGGAATTAGTTCAATAAGTTCAATATATAATATAATATATATATATATATATATATATATGTGTGTGTATATATATATATATATATATATATATATATTGGAGAAAGTTTAATATGAAAAGTTCAACCAGTGTTTCAGAAAAGATGAATTTTTTGAGATTCTCCTTATTCCATCACAGAAGGCTAACTGAATGTTGAAATTATGTAATAATATGTAAATATAAAAAGTAAGATGAACATTTTTCATTAATGTTGGTGTCAAGAAAAGAGTTAGAACAAATAAATCCGAAAAATTAAAAAAATTCATGTACCAACCTGACAATGATCATCATTTAGAGGCTGGTTGGAGCGAATAATTTGATGAAGATCTGTCTCCATCAGTTCATAAACAATATAGACATCATTAAAAGTTTCCCTTTTCGGAGGGCGGATGATATCCTTGATACCAATTATCTAAGACGAAAAAAATATATGTTAGATTTTTCGGAGAAGGCTCGATACTAGAAAAATGGAGTAAGAGCTGAAAGGAACGCAGTTGAAACATTAAGTACATATCTAACACCTAAATTTTATCATTAACTCACATAACATTCATCTTCAACAACACATCAAAAATACCACTAATACTAACTTTTTAAAACTGAAACACACATTTTCATACATGTGTTTTGATATAAATAATATATATATATATATATATATATATCAAAATTTCGGTGTCAGACATAAATACATAGAATTGTTTGGTATGTATGTAAATTTCCCTTAAAACGTTATACTATGAATGCAATAGTTCCATCAAAACAGTTGCAGTCATGTTACAGCAAATAAAATATCAGTGGAGAATTTTTCATGCCATTTTGATTATAGTGGATCAATGAGCTATGAAAATTTCATCGCTATTGTTGTCATCATCATCATGACACTTAGCACAACTAATTGTGATTGAGTCCAATTAATAAAATGGTCCATATTAAGAGAGGAATTCATAATTTTATTAGTTGGAGTTTATTATAAGGGATTTCTATATTAGAATCAATTTTTTTTACATGGGATGTTCCTAAATTAAATTTTTAAGACTAATTTTAAATTTTAAAAAATTTGTCGTACTCTTTGATAATGCCTTGGATTTTAATAATTTCTATCAAGATTATCAAATCATATGTATTTTTTTTTATCATATCATATTTAAGATCTAGATTTGCTTGAATCTAAGCTTTATAGAGCACCAAGTCTTGGGGCAAATTGATTTGGAACTAAGATGAAAATATTAAACAACCCTTGCCTCTCAATCTAACTTGTTAAAAAATAATTAGTTGCTATAAGCATATTTAATAAATTTTTTATCCTGCTTTGTTTATTAGTAATTTGTCCTATGTTCATATTGATATGACGTGTGATGCTTAATAAACTTTAACGGGTTAATTGCCGCCTAACTTCAGTGGTCTTAACATGAATCAAATGAGGCATAATGTAATGTACATATGCATTATGCTTATGCACATGAAATAAATTTTTTCAAGCTATTTATGAGTTAAGACTATTGATATGAAGTCTTGTTTGTGTTGTTTATGAAATCATGTTATAGTGATTTGCCCATGACATAACATGTACATAAATTATGCTCATATGCTTAACGGATGATTGTTAGTAACAGCATTTTGCTCATGATTGCCCGGCAAGGTTAATAACCTAAGGAGTGACGACACTTATAAAGAGTCAATGGATGACATCAAGTTAGTAAAAACCATCATTCTATGTCAGGATACCAAAAAAAAAAGATAAATAGCATAAAATATAATCAAACTTTAATGAGAAAATAATAATTATAATATGAATGCATGTGAATGTTTTAGCATTTTTATGCAGACTGCCATTTTCACATAATTGATAGCAACCTCTACAACATAATCATGATTTATTGTAAGCCAATTCTAATAATTCTTGCCACATAAGATTAGTTTAACTCGATAGAATAATTATAATTATTATGTTACATTGCTAATTGATCCACTCTATTAATCATACAGTATGTCCTATGCTATTATGTACTGTAAGTTTCACCTACTGAGTACATTTCTCACAAAATTACACATTTTTACAATTTTGAAGTTATTAGTTATAATCATTGAGTGAATAAGTTAGATTTGTGCTTCAAACAACATGGGAATTATAGCATTCTTAATTTAATTTATTGGCCAATCATGTCTCTTATTAAGTGAATTCCCATGATAGTTAGGAGTAAATTTCCATGCTCTGATAACTTTTTGATGGATATTTATTAATTTAATCAGTTGATATGTACTTGATTAACTAAATATATATCAGCTCAGCCCATTCTGTTTGGTTACTATCAAAATTTTCTAACCTTGATGGGCAAGTCATGGCATTAGCAAAAATTTTAATATATTGGATTTGACTTGTATCATTAACCATTATTCTCAATTTTAACTTCATCAAGGTTCACATCAAACAAATCATGTAAATAACTTTATGCCTTCCACAATAAACTTGTTCTTTAAGTTATTCTTGGAAAAGAAACTAATCCACTAAAAATGGCAAATGCCAATTATATCTTATAAAGTGAAAAACATGTACAATGATCCATAACTTTTTATATAGAAAATGCAATAATTATGCCCAAATATAAGCAACAAAAAACAAATAACAATTTGACAAGGCATAATTTTTTCAAACTAGACAAATTGATGTTATATGCTTGCGTAAGTGCGGGGAATAGATTGCGATCTTTTTCGACAAATAAAGTTAAAATAATCTAATCGTAGATCGATTAGATAAAACAAACATCATAATAAACAATCTAGATAGTGTGAAAAATATTTTATTAATTTCACAATGTAAGAATACTCATATCAATGAATTTTTTAGCATGTATAAAAAAAGACATTAGAATAATTTCATGAGTTTGATAAGTATACATATATGCACAGCGTAACTCTTAACTAGTTCCTAATCATTTTAGTTGCTTAAAAGCCAAATCTACATGATAGAGACCTTAGTCAGGGCAATGATTAAGCCTATCACTGGCAATACCACTGCAAGTCACACAATTGAACAATTATTTAAGAGAAATAATTTTTTATATTTACTAATATTATACTCTAATCTTTAAACAACATCAAAAATATCACTAATATTTATTTTTCTAAAGTGGAACAAAAATTTTCGTGCAAATGTTTTAAAGCAATTTAGACATTAGTGTTACTTAAATAAATATAAAATTTAAGAGTTTGATAAGTAAATATCAAAAACTTTCATGGTAAGTTTGTAAATCCCCCCTTCTTTAAGTGTCTGTTAGGGACAGCTGCAGCTGTTTGAAGCAGCAGTTTTGAAGCTGCTACAGAATAAAATGTTCAAAAAGCTACGGTGATTATTACAAATTTATTTTAATATCAAAAAATCATGCCACAACTTTCTAGCAGCAACTACACTTTAACAGATTAACTTGAAAAAAATAATTTTTCTACAACAAAAATTTCTAATAAGTAGCAAGAAAAATGTTCCCCAAACAGAACTGCAGAGGCTGTCTAAAACACAAAGCAGCCAAAAAACTATCTCAAACAAATCCTAAGTTTTGTACCCAAATTCCCTAATCAAGATAAAGATCAATGTTAAACTAACCTAACGTAATAATGATAAGCAAGTTGTGATTGGTTTCTCCTTGTTAGTCATCTAGATCCAGCAAGGCAATGAATCTTTATTGGATTTTAGAGCCTAAGGTCCTCAACAAAATACAAGCTACCTTCAGTTCCATTGTTTGTTAGAGGGCATTGTGTTAGTTTTCTAAGAAACTTTGCACTAGGAATACAAATTACAACTACCTCAAAAAATTAATTAGCATCTCGGTGTTAAATAAAGTTATTAAAAATTATCAGTTGTTTGAATTTCAAACATGTATAAATAAAAAAATCATAAATGACTTTTACATTCCGATTTAATGATATACTCAAAATTTGGCCAACATCTCAAGATTTTCGATCGTCTCAATATCACTTTTTATAACTTTAAAAATAATGACTAAATCAAGCATAATATTTAACAATTCGAACTAATGTTTAATAACATTGACATATAAATAACACTAAACTAAACAATTAATTAAAAGCACATACATTGAAGTATTTTGTGGAACATGCATAAAACTCCCGATTAGTACTAAATAAAATTATTTGAATATGTTACACAAAATCAATCGTATTAGAACTTAACTCGTGTCAAAATCAAAACCTATGGCAAATTTAGGCTGGATCACTCAAAATCGAGTTGCATCACACCTATTTCAATGATTTCGAGTGGTTTCAGGCCCTTCGAATAAAACATTGCCTTTGTTTGATTGAGTGCTCCCCTCCCATGTTGATCACAATGATGACTTATCTTGAGCATAATTTCAATTATAGATGTTTAAGGATTTATTGAGGTTTTTTAAAAGATATGGATGTTGTGATTATAAAAGTGAATTTGAACAATTTAAAAAAAAAATTGATTTCTTACAAAATTATGGTTGAATGGGATATATTTTAGCCTTCTCTTGATTGAAACTGAAGATTTATGGGGATGGTCCTCCTTGTAGAGCAAAGAGGCGTGATTGATTGACTTTTTTTCCAATCTATTTTAGTTCTCTAAATATCAAATCAAATTAATTTTCTAACATCACATGCTTGATTTGTTTCAAGTTTAATGCAATTTATTTTTTTTATGATGGTACAATTTTCAATTGATTGTATGAATTCCATATTTAATTTTCTTCACATAATTTCTAATTGATTATTTCTAATCAAAGGTTATTAAAACTATTATTAGAGTGGATTTTTTCTCATTGAATTTTTTTCATGAAAGGAAATAATAAGTTGTCAAATAAATATCCACAAAATTATTTGTGTATAAATGTTTTTATAAATAACATAATGAATGCTCATTAAAAAAACCCTAAAAAAGAAATGTCGACGTTAAAAATTATTAGAATATTATTGATTGTGTTAATTAATATATAATTACACTTAACGAATTTAAATTAAAGATTTGAATCCCTCTCCACGCTGCAAATTGGATTTCTCGTAACTGTTCCCGCACAACCCGCACCCCGGTCCAGCTTCAAAAAAACCTCTCTCTTCTCCTAGGCTTCACGGCTCGCATTCTACCCCCTATCGCTTCGTCCTAATTGAAAGAAAATAAGCCAAAAATTAGGTATTTCATTCAACATATGTGTTTAAACAGAGGTTACAATATTTAACAAATAAACCAATAAAACCCTCTTATTACACATAATTTGCAACACTCCCCCTCAAGATGGGTGAAAGATATTCATTAAGCCCATCTTGTCACATAATATAGCTAATTCCACTGAACTAAGTCCCATAGCGAGTCAGTCAGCCACATGCTCTGTAGTAGCTACATGGCTCAGTTCCAACGATACATTATTCAGTTTCTCCTTG